GCAAAAAATTGTTAAGGGACCAAAAATGTGCAAACCACTAAAGTTGAGGGACCAAATCTAGCATTTAACCATGTTAGAATGGTCCTCTCTCCAAGGAGGGCAAAACCGCAACCTCTTCTCCTACAATGCTTCTTTGATCTAATTTCTAAATATCTTTTCTAAGCATTTTGGTTGGACTGAGCATTAGAAGATGGTTGGTCTGGATTCTCGAAAGTGAACGCGACAGGAATATTCACGCTTACTGACTTTCTTTTTATTTCTTTAATTTGTAAACATGCCACTGCAAGAGTTAACCCATCCTCCGAGATAACCAACATAAACCAACAAAATCGAACAGCTCACACATTGACTAAATTTCTCTTTTCTGTGCACAAAGGAAACTGGAGGACCGTTTCCTAGAGACGAGCCGGATTCCCTCCTGCCAGAGCCAAGAGTGGAAATATTTCTTCTTTTATCTCCAAAGGAGGCATTCCTAAGTCCCACCACCATGTCATAGGCCTTCTGAGGTCGAAAAAAGAAATAAAAAATGATAGATAATCCTGATCAATATGTCCAAGAAGTAGCAGCAACTCTTCTTGCAATGCAAGCAGGAGGGTCACCGGAAGTCAATATTGATCAATACGTCCAAGAAGCAGCAGTAACTCTCTTTGCGCTGCAAGCAGGAGCGTCACCGGAAGTCAATATTGGCGGATTTTCAATTCTGCCAGAGGCTCCCGAACTTGATAACTTGCCTCCTGTTCGGAGATCACCAAGACTTGCAAGAGCTCCTGATAACTTGTCCTCTGTTCGAAGATCGACAAGACTTGCTGCAAGGGCTGCCGTCAATGAGCCTCCAAGTTCCTGATAACTTGAAAGAATTAGCATTCGGCGTGTGGGGTGCAACAAAATACCGTTCTGCTATTGCAAGAAAACTACCAGTGTGGGGCACAACAAGAGCTCGTTCTCGTTCTGAAAGGAGAGACACAAAAGCCTGCAGAGACACAAAAGCCGATTCGCGATTCCGGTGGACCTGTTAGTTTTGCAAATTAATCTGCAGATGTTTCATGTAGCTCCGGTGGAATCTTTACCGGAGCACTGCAATATTACTAGTACTTTTGCTTCCACGACGTGGCTTTTGTTTCTTTTGCCACCTATAAACTCATAAATAAGGGTTTCTAATCACTAAAATCATAGTTTTGAAAATCGGATGGAACTAGTTCAACCAATACCCGATGGTATAAATGATTTGTATTCACCTTTTAAACTATTCGGACAGTTTAATGTTTGGACATAATGTTTTGAGAAATTTGTCTCCCAATACTTCAAGTTGCTACTTGAAACTTTTACTCTAATTCTTTACTACCAGAACAATGCCATCCTTATATCAATGCATGCTTGAAATTTTATTTGTTTAATAAAAATTTCAAAGATTTTAATTAAATTATTAATGATAGTCATGAGATTCGAACACTAATTTTTCATGTAATAGAACAAAGACTATTTCACTTTAAACACAATTTTCTATATTTATTTTATTTTTAAAAGTATAATTATATTAAAATTTATTCTCAGAGACTCAAACTTGATGTCTCTTATAATAAATTAATTACATACCATTTTACCTCATGAATTTTTTATGAAATTCTTTTCATAATAATATATTTATAATATTTTAATCAATCCAATAATTTTATCAATTAAACCATTCAAACAGTAAACTAAAAGTTAAAATGATTTGATCTTTTGGCTCAGGTTTAAAAGCATTAACTAAAATGACTTCTAACTTTTCCAAATAAATTATATTATATTATATTTAATATATATTTTAAATTCAACCAACTTACTCTTTTTGACTAATCAAACTGGTTGGTTTAATTGCCAAAACCGTTAACCAAAGATTAAAATGATTTGACCTCCTATTCAATTTTGAAAACATTGCGTGCAGGCTGCTTATGTTCAATCTGCACACCTCAAAATTAGCTCCCGTAACTCTTAATTAATAATTTAAATTGTGTTATTTTAAATATTATATTATATATATATTTTAATAATATAGAATTAAGTTGATAACTTTATTGGACAATTAAATCTTGAATAATCAATTATA